TTGCTTTTTGAGACAGGGTTTCTCTATATAGCCCTGGCTGTCCTAGAACTCACTGTGTAGGCCAGGCTGGCCTTGAACACACAGAGATATTACTGCCTTTGCTTCTGCCTCCCAAGTGCTGGGATTAAAGATATGTGCTAGCACACCTGACTGCTGGCATTCACTTTCCACAGTCATTGCTAAGCTTGAGCTAGGTAAAGCCAGCCACTAGTGGCTCTATTTCTTACCTTTAAGAAGGAGTAGGCTTAAAATAAACTAGCACAAAGGAACTAAGAGATAGAGGTGGGTGCCTCAGACATCATCTGAGCATCCAGATCACCTTGAAGCCAGAAACTCTTGATTTTCAAATCATATGAGACAATAAACCCAACGCTCTTTATTTCGTTTTATTTATAATGGTGTAAGATGAGTTTATATTGTCTATCACTCTAAGGCTGTTGACCAATATCATGACCCAAGTAGACAGCAAGCTTTCTGAGAGCAGGGACTGACTCCATAGGCTTAAGATCCTTGGGGTCAGATATGGTGACACATTTTTTTTTTCTGAAAATATCTCTGGACTCCAAAGGAGCTGAATATTTTTCTGGACCTTGCAGCTGAGTTAATAATATTCCTTAAGATTATTTAAGACTATGTACTTGAGCTGGAGAGATGGCTCAGAGGTTAAGAGCACTGTCTGCTCTTCCAGTGGTCCTGAGTTCAATTCCCAGCAACCACATGGTGGCTTACAACCATCTGTAATGAGATCTTGTGTCCTCTTCTGGCCTGCAGGGATACCTGCAGACAGAAAACTGTGTACATAATAAATAAATCTTTTAAGCAAAGACTATGTACTTAACCTGCTGTCCTACTGTGTGCTTAGGTTTATGGCTAAACTGCCTTTAAGAGAACAATGTAACCAACCTTACTATGTCTTGAATTTCCTGTGCAAACACCTTTTATAACCTAAGCTAATACAATTGTGTACACTTATGTGCTCCTGACCCAGAATACTATATATATATATATATATATATATGTGTGTGTGTGTGTGTGTGTGTGTGTGTGTGTGTGTGTGTATGCATGTATCATTTACTGATAGCAGCCAACAGGTTGGTAGCAACCTTATATGATAATTGGAAGCTACCTGTGGATACAGGCTGACTACATATGCTTGCACTGTTGAATGCTATTCTTGAGAAGCTGGGGTCAATTTCTTCCCTTCTAAAATTCTGTTGAGATTTCTGTAAAGAATTTCTCATTTCTTCCCCATAACATGTTTTCTGTGCTATTCAATAAGTACAGAGCAAAGTCCTTTGGGAGGGACACACACAGGCACAGATTCAGGCACACACAGAGACACAGTACAGATACGGGCAACAGCAACAGGGACAAAACAGATCAGACTCACACAACTGACAATAGACTGGTCAGTAACCACAGGCAGAAGACATAGGTACAGACATGGAGAATTCTAATTTTGGCTTAATCTTAGTCAAGCTAATCCAAGAGGAAGTCTGAGTTTTAATTTGTTAATGCAACACTAACATAGTCAGGAATGGCTTGTGTACTCCCTTGTGGTGGTTTGAATAAGAATGCTCCCCACAGGCTCATATATTTGATTGTTTAGTCCAGGGAGTGACCCTATTTCAAAGGATTAGAAGAATTAGGAAGTGTGGCCTTTGTTGGGGGAAGTGTATCATTGGGGGTGGGCTTTGAAGCTTCAAAAGCCATGCCAGGCTCAGTCTCTGTCTTTCTGCCTACAGATTCAGATGTAGCTCTCACTACTTCTTAAGCACCATGCCCGTCATGCCCGTCATGTCTGTCGCCATCCTTCCCACCACCATGATGATAAACTAACCTCTGAAACTGTAAGCCAGCCCTCAGTTAAATGTCTTCTTTTATAAGTTGCCTTGACCATACTGTCTCTTCACAGCAATAGAGCAGTGACCGTGACACCCAGCATTGTAGCATTGAGCACAAGATGATCACATAACGGGTGAGAAATAAAAACAAAACATAGCTGGCTATGGTGGCTCATGTCTTTAATCTAAGGACTTGGAAGTCGAGACTGACAGGTCCCTGTGAGTTTGAGGCCAGCCTGGTCTACATAGTGAGTTCCAGGACAGTCTGGGTTAAGTAGTATACCCTGTCTCAGAAAAAAAGAAAGGAAGGAAGGAAGGGACATATCTCTGTATTTTGTCAATGAGGTGTTCTTCCAAATGCTTGGGGGAGGGGTGTCCAAAGGAAGAAGATTCAAGTGGCAAGTGCTCTAACTCCTATGTGACAAACAAAGCCTTTGCTTCTGTGCTGTCACTCTGAGCATGACTGACAGCTCACTTTTTCTGAGTGGGGTGGTCTCCAAGAGTTGTCTGCAGGAGCCCTATGGGCTGAAAAGTACACTCCGAATCAACCAAGTGACAGTCCTCAGTCCTAGACGGGCAAAACTGAGATTAAAACTGAAAAGACTTATTTAAGACTATAAGGGGAGGGTTGGCAAGGTGGCTCAATAGATAAAAGCACTTGCCAATCCCATCTGAGCCTCCATGAGATGGGAGAATCCCCATGCATGCATAATTATGTGTGTGTATGTGTGTGTGTGTGTGTGTGTGTGTGTGTGTGGGAGAACACATACAAAAACACACACACACACACACACACACAGAGCGAGAGCGAGAGAGAGAGAGAGAGAGAGAGAGAGAGAGAGAGAGAGAGAGAGGTGGGGGAGAAAGAGAGAGACACACACAGAGAGAAATTACTGTCATTAAAAAGTAAAACGACTGTAGGTTGAGACACCTTTAACTGATGACTAGTAGTCCAGAGCTGGCCGGTTTCCTAGTGCCCCTTTACTAAGTAATGGGAATCAGTCACTTATCTAGACAAGTCAGAAATCTCTGAGCAAAATGCAATCAAGTTCTCAACTTGCCAACTGCTCCCTTGGCCCTCAAAAAAGGAAAATGCCCTGGACCAGGAGTCATAAATTTAAAAAAAAAAAAAATGGCCAAAGACTGAATTTACTCCCATGTCAGTGGTGTGACTTTGAGTAAGTCTCTCACATATCAGTGGTCAGTTGCCTCTCTGAAACAGGGGAATTAAAGGGGACATTTGAAGGTGGTGATCTCTAAGACTGCCAAATTTCAGTGATTGCACTGTTGAACTGCCTATCAAATCCCAAGATGAAATCCCACATGGATCGCAGAGAATTTGAGGACCAAGAGGTCAGCAACCCATCTGCAGACTCCAAATTAAAGTTGATAAATTGGGGTTCAAGCTGAGCACATAGTCTGTCCAGCTTGCCTTCAAGGGAAAACACAATGAAAATGCACACTGTCATCTCTGGGCCCTATTGGAAAACGTGGAACAGCATTCCATTCCCTTCATTTCTCTTTTTCTGTTCTTTTCCAAGGTTCTTAAGCAGTCACATTAGGATGGGTCAACATCTGAGGGCTACAAAGACCACTCAGTGGTTGGATGCTAGCTGCTTCTACAGAGGGCCAGAGTTCGGTTCCCAGTACTCACAGTCCACAACTACCTGTAACTCCAACTCCAGAGGATCCAGTGCCCTCTTCTGGCCTCCACAGTCAAACAACCACCTTTGAGTGTATACCACCACCACCATCACTACAACATACACAATACACATAATTAAAAAAAATACATCGTAAAAAAAGAATGCCCATATCTGAGTACATAGTGCCTTGCTCTAACCAACCCTTTTCAGAGATTAGATATTTCCCAGTAGGAGCAGGAATTCCTCCCTACGTTTGTAAAACTAGCCTCATGACCTTGACCTCACCCCTGGCCTTCAGCCCAAGTGACAAGTCTTAATTTGATCATTATTGTATGCTTCACACTTGACCTTGAGTGACTTCAAGTCATCTTGAAAACTCACACTCCTCCTTGAAAAGATGGAGCTTTCTTTCCAATGAGAAGGCTCAAGGGAACACACACCACACTGCAGAGCCAAATCACTATGATGCTTCCTGAGGTGGCATTGCCAGCAAGTTGCTATCACCTTTCCTTTGGGGGCCTCTTTTGATGGGCTGAACACTTGTTGAATATCCCGAACTGCTTACTGTAAAGAGCCGTCTCTAATGGACCATTACCAAATCTTCTCTTCTTGCCCAACCCTGGGAGGCTCCAAACCTTTCCCTGGCCTCCATCCATCTTCTTTCCCCACCCTGCTATCCCTAGGCTCCTCTTTGCCTTCCCAACTCTCTCCTCCTTTCCTGCAATTAGGCAAATGCCCAGGTTGCTGAGTTTTCAAAATGTGACTGGGATCGAAGAGTGGGCGGGGACACAGGACTCTAATGGATCAGGGGAAACTGTCTCAGCATATCTTGTTCCCAAAGGTTTTTCCTTAGGGAAAGATGACTGTCCCAGTCAAACAGTTCAGAGACTTCAAGGAACTCATCACCATGCAACACAGAAACCTTCTGTCAGAGTGAAAGGGACCTTCTTTTTCTCCAGAGGCTCATGTTGCAAGCTTTCCACATACAGCCCCCAGTGCCAACACCACAGATAGCCTCCCACCTCTCAGGACAGGACTTTAAAATGTACCAAAGACCCCTCGTTTCTTCTCTGCACCATTTCACAAATAAGGAAAGCAAACCTTAAAAAAGTCAATAATGCCATCGAGTTCAAGGTTCAAGCCAACTATCTTGAGTCCCCAATTCAGCCCCCCCCCCAGCATAAGAGAAATTGGTTACACTTACAGTAAGCCCTCATTCAGGGGAAGAAATCTTTTTGCTAAAAGACAGCCAACAGAGACCCTCCGAAACAAGAAAATAACGCTAACCCATCAGTTGACCAAGCCCCTAGCTTCCAAGCAGACAGACACAAATACCGTTTCCAAGGTTTTGCCCCCTGCCCTAAGGTGGTTGAATGTTCTCCATAATAGCTGCTGAGGGTTGGTCACTAAGTGTCTCAACACAGAAAAAGAATCTAGCTCTGACTCTTCTAATCAAGACCTCCCATCTCCAGAGTCTTTGCTGAGGGTCCCGCGTCCACTCCTCCCCTACCTGCCAAGAGCTGCATCCAGGCGCAGATCTTGTAGACAGTGGCGGTGTTGCAGAAGAAGAAAAGAGCGAAGCAGGTGATGCAGCCGAGAATCAGCACCATGGAAAGCAACACGAAGAAGGCGGCCGCCTTGAAGGCGCTGGACGGGATGGTGCTGAAGTCGGTGAAAGAGCCCCGGCAGGTGAGCTCGCGGCCCGCTAGCCCGCTGCCCACGCAGTAGTGGAAGAGGCCGAAGTAGCCAGGCTTGGGAGTGCTCACGCTGTCTCCTACCCAGTAGGGCTGGATGAAGACCACCACGTTGATGATGGCGAAGCAGATAGTGAAGATGGCCCACAGCACGCCGATGGCCCGCGAGTTCCGCATGTAGTGCTCATGGTAGAGCTTGGAGGCCTCCTGCGAGGGCAGCATGGTGCCCGGGGGCGGGGCCGGCGGCAGCTGCTGGTGGGGGGCCGCC